TAAGATCAACAATGAAGGACTTAAAAAGATAAGGCGCATTACAACAACAGGTTTTAATTGGTCAGAAAATATAGTGTTTGCATTGAGACATTTCTTTTTAACTTTCTATTACTCATGAAACTGCAAATGAATTCAATTTTTGTTCGAACCCTAATTCACATCTTAATTAAATGAGATGTTTGGAGAGTTCAGTGTTGTAATTCCAATGTCTAACAGATGCAAATGGCTCAGCTTCTTTGAGAGAAAGGATAAAAAGAGACATGTGAGATCTTTAGAGGCTTCCTGCGTCTGAAAATCAAAGGCCTCATTGAAAACCAAATAGAGCAACATCAGTGGATTACAAGGGTTTCCTCAGCAGGGCTCCGAGATGGAGGCTGCGGGTCAACACAGGGATAGAAACGTGAAGTCAAGTGACCACTCTGGGGGCTCACAGTGTGTTTTAATCAAGACTGAGGCCTAAATGCAAGAAGCCTGGGTTTGAATCTGGCACGGTCCTTGCATCTGCTGTAGCTTTAAAAAAAATCACCTAAATTAAAAAATAACAAAAAATCTTTTAAAGAAAAGCAGAGTCAGGACTTTGCCAAGTTATACAAATCCAATTCCTGTTTTGTTAAAAAGCGGCTCACTATACGTCTGTGGATTTTTTTCTCACAATAAAAACTATGATTTTAAAGCTGATGTTTTAAACCACCGTTTACAGGCCACAACAACCCCCTTCAAACAGAAAGACCACTAACAACTGGTTCATTATAGTTCATGATACTTGAGTAGAAAATATAGGTTATTGTGTAACTGTAATCACTGGATGGATGGATGGATAGATTTCAACACGTCTATTTAGACTTGGCAGCATCTATATTAACAAGAGAACATGTGGTTGCTTGTTAAACCAGGTCTTCGGAGCTTTACTGTCTTTTAGCTTGTTGTTTAGCTTTTTTTTCCACCATGTTGATTTACTCTCACCACTTTCAATCAGTATCATTTTCAGCGACAAAGCTCTGAAATCTTCCTGCACTGCAACAGACAGCAGCAGGTTTCGGTGAATATAGAGAATTATCTCCAATGTCTCCAGATGAATATTCTTACTCGATGTGAATAAAAGCAGCTGTTTGCCAACAAGTTCGACTTTAAATGTAATAACATGCCGGTGATGGGTTCAGAGTTTGTTTCCTTGGCCCCCAAGTGGCAAAAAGAAATTAAATTATTGTCAGTAAAGTTAATTGTAGAGGGTTTGTCAAGTTGAAGAACAATAGGCCACAAAAGAATAGTAATGGATAAGTTACTTTATTTTTAACTTCATATAC